TTTCACGAGAAAACTTATTTGAAAGAAAGCAATGGCGTTCGTAATAGAGGACTATTGGCAGTAAACAGATTAATAATATAAGAGAGACAAGTACGGCTTCTTCATCTAACGAATAACCTTTGCTGCATCCAATCTGTGGGCCTCTGATTCGTTCCATCACACTCTTCTCTTAACTGATAACCCGCAAAGACCCCCCTCGCTGGCTTCCTCAAAACGTTTGAAGGGTGCGTGTGGAACGTTCGTTTTACTACCAAAGACCCTTTTGGAAAACACACCCCTTTTGGTAAAGGAGCAAATACTGCGCGTCAAAGACGTAATCGAATTGGCAGATTCCAAACTTAAAATTGCACTTGGCGCGGCCACTGCTCCCTGTCTTCAAGAATGCCACAAGAAGTGCGCTGCCTCCGAGCGACTGCATGGCCCTGAGTGTCAGATTGAAGAGAAACGCGTTTTTGTTTGTCTCTAGTTTTCTATGGGCAATGCGTTTATTCTCTTCCGTACCTACAGATCATATGTGGAAAGCAAATATCCACACTAACGATGTCGAACACTCTACAGATGATATGAAACAGCGCTAATTAACACAGGGACAAGGAGAAGGAGGACACAGTCTACCAGGCACCTCCAAACTCCGGACTGCGGGTCAGATCCGGCCCGCAGTTGGCCGGGGTTCCTCCATTGAGACCCGGCCCGCGGCCCGCTTTTAGCAGGCCCGCTGCTATCGCCGCAAAAATGAACGCACCACGCGAGAAAAACGGCGGCGCGACGTCCAGCCAACGAATCGTATCTGTTCGGATTGATATCCCACTGATAGTTTTGTGTGATATTTATTGCATATTGTCATCACTACGATCACCAATGTTAGTAATTTGTGCTATGTCACATTAACTGCGTTAAAATTAATTTTCGTCTTATCTACACGTCCTGCTTAGTGTCGTAACTGTTGCATATTATTATCGTGGCATCTACAATTCTAATTTAGTCTTCTGCCCTTTCTGATTATTGCATATTTTCTATCTGCTTTTATTTATTTCTGATATGTTCCGGGTCATTTTCTGAATGTCATAATTAGCAAAATGTGTAATATTAAAATAAAGTATATGTATTTATTCACCTTGGATATATTTAAATTTTTATAATAATTTGAACAAAAAAATGCAAATGGTCATCGACTTATTTATTTAGTTTTTCGTCGTTTATTACTAATTTTCCTGCCCTCGAGGCCGCGACAAATCCGGCCCCTCAACCAAAGCGTTCGGACAGCCCCGGCTTTGGGCGCCATGGATCTGGGGCAGTCTTTCTGGACGCGGGACAACCCCGCTGAGGGTCCGTGCGAGCGGAGCACGAGGCAGCACGAGCTGTCAACTGACTGTGGCAGCGTCACGCATGCCTGGAACACCTAGTGAGATGGGCGCATTACCCGAACAATGAAAGGACACTGCAGCGTCTCCGGAGGGGTACGCGGACCGGCTGTTCGGGCGCCCTCCGACCGCGGTCCCTCGGCGCGAGCCCGGGTGGGTAACGAGCCGCTGTCAGCGAGCGGCCGCGCCCCCGAGCCGCTCAGAGCCGCGGCATCCCCGCGGGCAGCGGCGCCCCGCTTTGCCGGGCTGCTGCCGCTTCACCTGCGCGCCGTGATTTAGCGCGGGCCTCTCCTTCGTTTCGGGCCCTGATTTACGCCGCCTTTTTGTTTCTGCACGCCCCGAGAGGGGTATCGGGGCGAGGGGAAGCCGCGCACGCCCTTTCCCGGCGAGCGAACGTTCCTGGCCCTGGCCAAATAATGGCAAATTGAGGGCCGTAAATCTCGCGCCGAGAGAGCGCGCGGGAAACGTGCGTCCCATGGCGAAGAGCGGCTCTCGGACCGCTTCGTCGGGACCGCCTGCGCGAGCACGAGCGCCTGCACGACGACCGATCGGCCATCTCGGCCGCATCCATCTCGGGCTCGCCGAGGTGCGCGGACGGAAGGCGAGCACAAGCACGCGCGCGGCAACCACGCTATCGGCGAGCCGGCGCAGTCTGCAAGGAGTGCGTGGGAGGGGATTCTTGAGGCGAGCAGTCCGTGGAATTCACCCTCGGAACCCCCGCGTGAATCCTCCGACGCAGCACCGCACCGATCCTTGTGTTTGGTCCAACTGCAAAACAGCCGGCGCTCCGAGTGCACGCCGCGCTTTTGTAGACACACACTAGCTTCCGCGAGCGTCTCGAAATCGGCCTTTCGTACCGGACAGGACTCGCCCGACGCAGAATGGCGCGGATTCGCGCAACCGAGCAGCGTCCGGGCAGGATCGTGGCGAATGCCTCGGAGTAAGAATCTGTAATAGAATCGAAGAACCAATTTCAAGAATCGTGTACGTGAATCTGCTCTGTTCATATCTCTCAATCGTCAACGGAAGAGAAAGAAGAGTCGAATTTGGGGGCATTTAGACGGCCTAAACGTAATTTGTCCCGAATGAGTCGACGTCCTCTGCGTTTGTGAGCAGTGGGAGTCTCGAACGCGCAACGAGCGGCATTCATTGTTCGACCACGCGTCCCTAGGATTCTGGATCTCGGGGATTCTGGGATTGAGCGATTTAAAAAGATAACGTATTAAAGATGCATGCGCGGGGGCAGGAAGACTGGGCGGGTGAAACGCCACGAAGCGACGCCGACGGGTCTTACCAAAGAGGCGAGCTCCCGTGCCCTCGAACACACTCGGCACTCCGCCGGAGTTGGCCGTGCGACGCTCAAAGCTAACGACGGGCCGAAAAACGACCGCAATGTGCGAGAAGGCATACTTTTAAACGCATTGTCCTAATTTATATATCTAAACTTGCGTGTCATGCGTGCAAAAGAAGAGGAAGTAAGAAAACGTGCGGTTTGTCATTGATGTTTGCTAAACGGCTTTCCCGTCTTCTGCGCAGCACGGGCGTAATCTCAATTCTCGTTGGGCAATTATGACGGTGCCATACTCTTCTTGGCCTTGCCACGTACCGCAAAGGACGAGCCTTATGTTAGCCGATCGAGCGATTCACAGCTCCGTCCAACCAGAGGGTCGTGTGACGCGCACCGATGATAGACTCTCGTGCGCCGTCCGTGCGATACATCCTCACCTGATACGCAGTGCAGTGTCGAAAGCGACTATTCGCGAAACGCTCTCTCCACGCGGACCAGCCCTGTACATTGACTGTTGAAACGACCGACAAATAGGTGGAAAACTGCTATTATTTTTATTTATTTTTTTTTTTTTTTTTTGCGCGCGCGGTAAATGGTTTTTTTGCCTGACACCATACATGAAAAGCTAGCTGCCTCTCTTCTAATTCATCCCAAGGGCCAGGTGTCCTCGAGAACGGGTGAGACGGCTATTTGAACGACGTCTTTCCCCCTTTGCCCTTTTCGACGGCTGCGTGTACGATGCGCGATCCCACATTCCGCGGTGGTCCTCGCGACGGTGCTTTTGCCCGGCGCTCGGGAAGGAGCGGGAGGCAAGGCGCCAACTCCCCTGGGAGCGCAGGAGTGCGGCGGGGCCGCGGGGCTCCGATGATTGCGGCTCGGCCGTGTCGCTAAGCGTGATGGATCAGGCGGTTGCGAGCGATACACGTGTCTCGGCTAATTGAAAGCGGCCGGGCGCTGCGTGCGCCTCGCTCGACGCCCATCGGGTCCGCATTCTCCGTTCCCGGACGAGGCCAGCTCGGAGTCCGCGGCGCCGTCGCCATTCGCCGCCCCCCCTCCCTAACCAGCTGCCCGGAACACATCGAGGCGCCTCCCGAGATAGGGCTCGGGCCCGTGGGCTTACCACGATCCTTCGCGACCGCAGCGGTCGCGCATTGAGGCAGCTTTCGCGGAACGCCTTCGCGACTGCAGGTCGCACATCAGATTTCTATCGACAGGCCAGACGCTCTCAACGGCGGAGTGTCTTTCTAAAGCTGAGGTAGCACTGCTATCGTACAAGAGACAGTGACATCGTCTGAGGCCTTCCTTGTATCACGTCGGCCATACAAGGCCTGAAGAGATCTTACGAGCATGTACGAAGCACACCTTCGAACGTGCGTGAGGCGGAGACAATTCTGCGATGATGTCTGTTTGCCGTGTCTTTTCTATAGTGCATTTGCACAGTTTGAGTTCGGATGGTTAAAAAAAATGATAAAACAATATAGAGTTACCCTGTCTGCTCCTGCGTTAGCACCGCAGACTTCCAGCCCATTCAAAACAAACGAATAAAGTAAAAGTACCAACTAAAAAAAAATATAAGTTAATTGTAAAATTTTTAATGTTCGCGAGCCCTTAATTTTCGCAAATTTCGCGAGTTGGAAAATTAGTGAAATTTAAGGCACACGTAAATTTCGATCCTTAAGAATTTCAATCAGGGCTTCTGAAATTTGCGAAATTTAGCGGCCGCGAGTATGTCCTCTGTGACTGATTTGCGAAAAATAGTGGCCGCTAAAATAAAAAGTTTTACAGTAATGTATTTTTTTTAGATGAAATTTAGGAGAGAAAGAAATATAGCTTTAAAAACCCAAGCCAAAGAATAGGCATCAGCGTGACAGGCGATATAGGTGATTGAAATAGTTACCTTGGGAACCCCAGCATTGTCACCCCAGGACGCACTTTGCGCAGCCCCATTTATCCAGAACAGAACTCAGCTTTCTTTTCTTTTGTCGGAGAATGAACGCACGTCACACGACAAGCACGAGCCGTTGCTCGTTTTTGATATTTCCCTTATACGGGTAAAATACTGTTGTTCATACTTGTGCATAAAAGAGCTCATTAAACTTAGGTCAGACAAACGTCATAGAAAAGACTCACTGTCTGCTTCTTCCATGGCAACTGCAGACAGCTTCTCGTATGGGCAGTGTGACAGGGCAAGCAGTGTCTGAAAGCTGCATTTTGTATGATTTCCTATAGAAGTGTGACAGCGCCTTGATGCTGTACGGCGTGGTGCTTGTCAATGTTCGAGTGAGAGGCGCAGACGTTCGCGGTAGCGGTGTCCTATAGGTGGGTCTCTCTAAGCTTGGGTCCCGTTGCAGCGCGCGTGCCGGGCGGCCAGGTGTGTCGGCCGCACTTCCACAGCGCCCTGCACCCGTGGATCTCGGACCCGGCCAAGGCGGCGGCGGCGGCGGCGGCAGCCATGGTGCCGCACCACGGGCCCGCGTCCTGGTGTTCCCCGTTCGCGGGCAAGCCGCAGCCGAGTCCCCCGACGGCGCCGTCGCACTCTAGTCCCCACCTGTTCAGCTTCCCGCCGACGCCGCCCAAGGACGCGACGCCGGACCCGGCTGCGGCCGAGGCCCCGGGCTACGCCTGCGACGGCGACCACAAGCCCGGCGGCATGCTGACCCCGCTGGCCGCGTCGTCGGCCTGCGGCAAGCGAGAAGGTACCTTCCCCGCCTCCTCCCCTCCCTACCCGCACTACGTGCCCCACCCGGGCTCCGAGCTGGCCGGCTACCACGGCTTTCACGCGGGCCCGCTGCAGCTGGCCAAGGCTCCGCTCCCGCCTCCCGCGGGCTACGGACAGGCCGCCAAGCCGCGCACCAAGGGCCGCTCCAGCGCCGGTAAGACGACCCGGGTCCAGGCCGCCGCTGCACGAGCGTCGACGCTAACCACTAACGCACCGCGGCTCTTCCTCCTTTCCTCCGCGCACGCACCCCCGCGCTGTCGCGAGCACCCAGAGCGTGGGCACGTTGGTTCGCAGGCGGCGGGACCAGTTCGAGTGGCGGCGGTTCGCGGCGCGAACTGCCCCTGCCTTTCCTCGACCAGACGACGGCGCCGTACTTCTGGAACGGCGGCCAGGCGCTCGCATCGGGGCCGCGGTCTGACATCTCGGCGTTCGGAGGTGAGCGCGCCCCCGCGCCCCGAGACAGACCCAGGGTCCGGAGTGCCCCGTGCGGCTCTTGGACCCCTCGCTTCCATCGCGCGGTCACTGCCCGTCCGGTGGGAGGCACCGCGCTCGTCGCTTCGTGAATGGAAGCGGTCCACGGCGATCTTATCTCCCGAGACAAGTGCCAAGATGGTCCCTTCACGCTTTCCGCCCTCCCCCGGCGGCGCCCCCTCGCGAGTCTCCGTGTTGCCACCGTGCTCGCGGCTCGTTCCGCCGTCTTCGGCCGTCCACTCCCCGAGAGCTCCGTGCGCCGGATTCGGCCCGAGTCACGCCTTCGAGCCGTCCAACGACGTCCACTCGGTAACGAGCTGCCGCTTGCACGCGAGCACACGGACGGAGCATGCCCACTCACGTCTAACACGCTTACTAACACGCTCGCATGTTGCGCTTGCCTGCCACTCACGTCGCTGGGCTCCATTCGGTGCTTTTGGTCCTGGTTGTTCGCGCGATCCACTTAGGCTGAAGAAACCGCGCTCTGACATTGGTCATACAATCTGCTTCCATGTTCGAAGCTGTGCAACGCAATCGAGGCGTCTTCATTCTCTCATCGTGTCTGCAGGGAACAGAGTGCCACGACGTACGGGCAGAGACTGCGGCTTTTCAGGGGGACAAACTTCATCCGATCGCACTGCGTCACGACGGTCCGAAGTTGGGCCCTCGCGCAACTGCTTGGCGCGTTCAACTGTCCCGCAGATTTCCTCGAAGCGCGTGGCATTTCCGCGCCTTCCCCGCTGTTCGTTCACCGCTCACGCGAGACCCCTTCTGGTGGGAGTAAATCCTGTCGAGCAACCTATTTCCGGCAGCCGTGCCGTGCACGGGCGTTTAGCGACGCGGGGCGTTCGTCCGTCGGTGAGGGTTGAAGGTCGGGCCGGGCGCCCTTCGACCTTCTCCGCATCGGCCTTGAGCGAAAGAACGGGCCTTCCCAGAAATCAGCTCGTTCCAATCGCGGACCAGGAGCGGTGCGAGTTGCCGGATCGCACGCTAACAAAACTGGCCGAGAGTCTTCTGCTGGTGGGGTCGGCGAAACGGTGACGCGAGGCGGCTCGAGCCTTCGCGCGGTTGCGCGTTTATCAGGCGTGTGAAAATTGCTAGAATCGCTGTGACGTATTGTTCTGTCGAAAAGTGAATGAAATAAATTTGTTCGCTAAAGCTAATCGAGTTCTCACTTTGGTGGTGACAAATGCAACGCGTTATTTCTGACGCGCTCCTCACAGCCCTGGTGTATTTTCAGCGTCCGTGCATTCGACGGCGCTCCATGCAACTTTTGACATAAAATCCTGCACATTAGGTGTATGCCGCAAATATATATCCAATCGCATTACGTGCAAAATCGTGGCATTTTCCCACTATTGCTCTAATCATACAGCCTTTGAAGACACGAAGTGACCACCCAGCATGAATTTAGCTTCATCTCATTGGGCGCTCTACTAGTAGCTCGAAAGATACACTCTCGGCAGGCCCTGAATTTACGCTGCACTGCATTCCAAGCGCCAATCGCAAGTCTTTTTAATGAACTCATAATTAGCATTCCGTGTGTACGAAGACGCAATGAACACACATGCCGGAGTTCCTGAGAGATCGCATGGAGGATATTTTCAAACGACAGACACCGAGATAGACGATACGTGGGTCATTCTTTCGTGTTCCCTGCTTGGTCTACGCATCACGGAAACACATACCAAACTACGTAGAAAGAACCTGGAGATCATGTTCGTTAAACTTTTTTTGTTTTGTTTCTTGATCGGAAAGGGGTAACAGCGAACAAACAGACAACACGACAGACACGGACGGCGTGTGTTCAAAGTCAAACGCAAAGTCGAACGCCGTCTGTGTCTGTCGTGTTTTCACTTTTTCCGTTGGTGCCCCTTTGCGTTCAAGAAACCGAGCTTAACCAAACTACGGCATCGAAGAGCCAACGGGTCGCCGTGCCGGAGCCTCGGCCCCTCAGCTCTGGCTGCGTCGGTGTGTCGAAGGTCCCGACTCCGGACGAAAGCCCGATGCATGACCGACGAACGGACGCCCGGCACGGTTGGCCCTTCCCTGGTCCAGAAACCGGTTCACGAGACTGGTTCCCACTGCGCCCGTCCTGCTCCCGACGGCCCATCCGGGCGCTGCGCCGTTTGTGGGCGAGCAGCGCGCTGCTCTCGATCCCGCAGCTGGAGGCTTCCACGACGGCTGCCGGGATCTTCCGCAGCCATGGCATAAGCACCGCGACGGGAAGACGCGGGACGATGTTTGCCCTCTCGAAGGTCGTGATCTCCCGACCGCCTGTCGAATATTGCTTCCAATCGGCTCACGCGTAGAGCAGCGAGTCGAGCCTCCATCCACGTGTCAACGCACACCCTCACAGAAAGGACTGAATGCACCGCGATACATTCGAAACGCCCTTCGGGATCCTTATAATCCAATGAGCGATACGTTTCCAGGCTCAATAGCGACGCGCTCTTTTTCTGAAAGGTGCACTCTACGAATACTTGAAAGGATAAAACAAGGTACGGACAGGAAAGAAACCCTGTTGCCGTACCCGTCCTCTGTGTTTTTATCCTTTCAAGCATTCGTACCCATTCACCAACGTGCTCGTTTTCAATTACGATAGGTGCACTCTCTTTTTCCGCGGAGGCGAGTTGGATGGTCATCGGAATGTAATCCCTATCCCCTTTGCCTAATTGATTGAGAAAACGGTGTTCCGAGAACATCGTGATGCGGTACAGACTCGCTCGCTTCTGAACGTGCGGTCTTCATATTTGTGTGTATCACCAGGGGCGCTTCGGTGCCGCGTTACCGGTGCATGAAGGTACGTGCCCGAAGGCCGCATCGACTGTGTCTACCTGACTCGGGGTGAAGACATCTTCCCCGAGGCAGACGGAGGCCGGCTGTAAGCGGTGTAACGGCAACAAGGCACCATGCGGAAGCTAGCTGCTGGCCCCAAGAGGCACAGGGAGCCCGCGCGCACACGGCCAAGTCCGGCAAAACGTGATGGAGCGGCGGCAAAACGGCCGAGGTGTCATCGCTCTGCGCAGTGTGCGTGAAAGTCCGCTGCGTAGGAAAGCCGCGGGGGCCGGCGCGGACGCCCGGGGGTTCTCCGGGCGTCGTGGCGGCATCCTCGTTGCGTGTGAAGACGAGGGCGTCTCCGGCCGGGCAGCGAGAGTCGAGCAGGCGATGATGGGGCCCCTGGGCGACCCTGGCTTAGCCTGACCCCGTAATTGCAGGCCGCTCGTGGGCCGCTCCGGCGCGTGAGCCTCGTTGGCCGCCGATCGCTCGTGACGGGGGACGCAGGGGGGGCAGGGAGGGCGCGATCCGGTCGCTTCGGCGGCGCCCGATCTCCGGGGGCCGTCCAGACAAGTGCCCGCTTGCCGCCGCTCGGAAACGCGCTTTCTTTTACCTCCCGAGACAATTGCCAAAACAAAAAGGGAGGAGGGAACCCCTCGGAAGGCATGGGCAAAGAAATCAGCGTACCTTCGAGTAGATAATGATACGTATTCAAAACACACACGTTTCACGTACGCAAAGAGGGTTCACTACGCGGAGACACGCCACTGCCGTTCTCTCCTTAGATTAGCGTCGCAAGCTGGGTTTTCAAAGCCGAAAAAGCGTTAAATATTGCGTAAACACGGAGCTAGCGAAAAGAGCGGCACTTGAGCGTGGTCCGATAAAGAGGGAGCGCACCGGCGGCCCGTGTGGCGGGCACCGCTCGGGAGCGGCCGTTTAGCAAGCTCCGGTTTCAGCGTGGCTCAGCCCGCAATCAGGGCCTGATAAATGGCGCTTCCCGGCAGTCTCCCCGGCTGGACGGTGGAGCGCCCTCGCGCTCCCTCGGGCTCGGTACACGACGCAGCGATATTGCCGTCCAGTTGGCCCGTACTACGTTGACGCCACGTTGAATTAACCTGCGGCTGGTTAGAAGGGAAACATCAGAACGTAGAAGGGACAGAAAATAGACAGGGCGACGTCTCCAGCTAAGCTACCTCGTTTAGTTAGTTTACTTCTTTATATAGTATCAAACTCAAGCTCATCTCCGCCAACAGAGAAGGACGAGGTCTATACAGTTCAAGCGCCACAACGTGCACCCTCTCACAATGTAACATGGGGGACAACCTTACAGGTTATGTCAGCTCACCGTAGCTGACATACGCTGGGCCACCGTGGCTCTTCTGATGGCGAGCCTTTAGCTCGCGTCTGTGACAAGAACCGCGGTGCGATGAATCACAGTGAGCGGGCTGTCTGGTTATCGTGCGGTGCAGCGCACACTCGAGGACGTCTGAGGACGCCGGGGACCCCCTGTAGATCGACCGTCCGGCGGTAAGGAGAAATGCCATCTAGAGGACAAGGCCCGCTCATGACGTCATCTTTAGTGGATCCCCGCCCCAAGACACGCTGAAGCTGGACCAGAGACAAAGTGGCGTCCGTCTTGGCGAGGTGTGCTAGCCTCGCGCTCTTTGTGAGACGCTGCAAGAGGCGGCGATGCTGACGCAAGGTAGCCGGCTCTGCGTGGCTGCACTGGCGATGACGGTTGGGGGAGCCTTCTAGCTGCTCCAAGTGGGCTCCCTTCGAAGACTACGTGGCCGTGCTCCGGCGGCCGGGGCGGCAGCTGTGCCGGTCGGCCCCGAGGCGTCTCGGTTGCAGGAGGCGTCGTCGTCGAGTGCCGCGAGGACGGCGTCCCGAGAGGCGTTCCGCTTC